GTTGCTGCTGCTGCCTTTGCGACTACTGCCTTTTCTGCTGCTGCCTTCGCTGCTGCTGCTGCTACTTGCTGCTACAGTTGCTCGACTGCTTGCTTGCCCGTTGCTCAGGCTAGCGCCTCCCCCATCTTCTTCCGGCTGATCCTCTTCGGAGCTTCTGCTCGCTCTAGTGCTGCTGCCGCAGCCGCCGCTGCAATTACATTTGTGTTGCGCAGTTGCTGTTGCTGCTACTGCTGCTGCTGCTGGTGTCACTCTTGCTGCTGTCGCCGCGGCCCCACATGTGGGAGGGAGGAGCAGCCTAAGGTACCTTCCTGTTACATTAAACAGTAAGCAGAGTTTTTTTGCAATAAAAAATATATTTGTGCCTTGCGAAACAATGTAACTTCGCCTTGGGGAGCGGGAGCGTGTGGGGCCCCCGAGGGTACTGTTGGGGCCCCCGAGGGCCCCGTTGCAACTGCAGCAGTTTGCTCTAGCTGCGTGTTTAATCGCTTGATGCAGCAGCAACAGCTTAGAGACTTGCTGCTGCAGTAGCAGTGCAGCTATTTACCTTCAGTCCTATCTAATGCAGCCACAGCAACACCTGTAGAGCTGTGTTGCAGCAGCAGAGGCAGCAGCAAGAGCGCTGTAGAGCGGAGCAACGGAGGCAGCAATGCCATAGACAGCAGCAGCAGCAGCTGAGCCGACTGAATGCTGCAGACGGTGCAGCAGCCGCAGCAGCAGGAGTGGAAACATCTCTGGGACGAACGACTGCATGCAGCAAAGCCTGCAGCTCTACTGGCTGAAACAGCAGCATCAATACTGAAGCAGAAGCGCCTGCAGCAGCAGCCACGGAAGCAGAAACAAAAGCAACTGCATTTACTGCCGCAAAAGGGCAGCTAATAGCAGGACCAGCGACAGCACTAGGAATAGCAGCAGCAGCTGCTGCTGCAAGCAACAAGCAAGCATGGGAGGCGATTTCATAATTGGCTGCGTGGGTAAACCCTCAGCAGGTCCGTCGAGGCAACTAGGGCCAGCGGCTCAGGCTGTAGGGCTGTGGGTACTAGGGTTTGTGGGCTAGGGTTTAGGGTTTAAGGCTTAGGGTTTAGGATTTCCTGAGGCCTGCACACAACTACAGCGCCTACGCACGTCTGAGCAGTCTCTGCTAAGTGCATCTGTCGCTAACTCGAATGAAGACTCTCTCCCGGCTCCAGACTTTAGGGATTAGGGTTTAGGGTTTAGGGTTTAGGGTCTAGGGTTTGTGCAGGCAAGAGCACGTTTTTCAACGCAGCCACAGAGGGCTCAACAGCCAAAGTGGGCAGTTACCCCTTCACTACAATAACTCCGAATGAAGGCATCGGCTACTACATCACAGACTGCCCCTGCAAAAAGTGAGTTGTTGTTGCTGTTGCTGTTGCTGCTGGGTGCTGCTGCTGTTACGGCTCTGGGTACTCTTGTAGCTGCAGCAACCGTTCCTGCTGCTGCTGCTGTTATTGCTTCCCGCATTATCGCTGCTTTTGTAGCTGTTGCTGCTAGATTTAGTTTTCACAGCGGTGTCAATTTTCCTGCCGTTGCTGTTGCCGCTGATGCCCATGTTGGTGCTAGCGTCACTGTTGCTGTTGCTGCTAATGGTCCTGTTGCAGCTGCCGTTGCTGCTGCTGCTGCGGGTGGCGAGAACTACGTTACTGCTGCTGTTGAAACTTTGCAGCGTCTGTTTGCGGCACTGGCAACTTCATCGCAGCCACTGCTTCCCAGCGAGCAGCTGCAGCGCTGCTGCCACTGTGCTGCTGCCGCTGCTGCTGCTGCTGCTGCTGCTGTTGCAGGTACGGCGTGGGCTGCAGTCCCCGCTACGGCCGCTGCGTCTCGGGGCGCCGCTCTGTGCCCATACGGCTGCTGGACGTGGCCGGCCTTATCCCCGGGGCCAGCGAAGGCCGGGGCCTGGGCTGCAAGTTCCTTGACGATTTGCGGGTGGCGGATGTGCTGCTGCACATAATAGACGTCTCGGGCACCACCAATGAAAAGGCACGGATCTGCTGCTGCTGCTGCTGCTGCTGCAGCGGCTTCTGTCGGTCACCAGGCGGAGCTGCAAAGGCTGCTGGGTCGACGCCGCGGCGGCTGCTGCTGCTGCTGCTTTGTTGCTGAGATGCTGCTGCATGGGCTTGTGACGCTCGTGCTGCTCTGGCTGCTGTTGGCGACTGTTGCTGTGGGAGACGCGTTGCTGTTGCTTCTGCTGCTGCGCCGCTGCGGCTGCTGCGGCTGCTGCTGCTGCTTCAGGGAGAAACCACGACGGGCTACGACCCCAGCGCAGACCACGAGTGGCTGCTGAGCGAAGTGGAACTCTGGATCTTCAAGAACATTTGGGGAAAATGGACATCTGTGGCTCGCAGGCACGCGGCAACGAACAGGTGACCCGCTGCTGCTGCTGCTGCTGCTGCCACTGCTGTTGCTGTTGCTGTTGCTGCTGTGGCGTTTGGGGCTGCCCAGCCTTCGCTCAAGTAGATGCTCAGGCGATACGTCAAGACGCTGCGAGAGTTGTTGTTGCTGCTGCTCATCGTGATGCTGCCGCTCTCGTTGCTGGACCTCCTATTGCTGCTGTTGCTGCTGTCGCTGATGCCGTAGATCACCGCGATCTGCAACAGCAGCAGCATCCCTAGCAGCGCAAGCGCCCTGTGGCTTGCCTGCACGTGCTGCAGTGCTCTGTATCCATCCTGGTCATTCCCTACTACTGCTGCTGCTATGCTGCTATTGCTGCTGCTGTTGTTGCTGTTGCAGCTCTCTGCTGGACACCTTTTCGGCACAGTTCAGCGGCTATGGCGCCCCCCAGACGCTTGTGGCTGCGGCGCTTCAGGAGTTGCACCGCAGCAGGAGGTCGCGCAGTCAGGCCCTGCAGGAAGCAGCAGCTCCAGCAGCAGCGGCAGCAGCAGCAGCAGGAGTCTCTGCGGGAGCAGCGGTAGCACGAGGAACAGATGACGCTTCACTTCTGCCTGAAGACCTCACCAAGTGGGCTTCTGAAGACGTCATGGAGCTGGTATGTTAAACTAGAACGCTAAACTGGAAGCTGCAGTAATGGATTTTAAAAGACTCTAGAGCTTAAGAGTTGGTTTCTGACTAAGACTTTAGAACTTAAAATAATTGGTTCTAAGTCTACGGGCTTGTCTTTGCCTGGTGCCTGCAGGTGAAGACTTTTGTGAAGATTCGATTTCCTTTTGTTTTGGTCCTCAACAAATGCGACGCCGTGAGGCAGCCACTGGATCGGGATCGGGATGGGAACAGGTTGTGGGGCGTGGGGATCGGCATCGTGGCGATGTGGGGTCAGTAGAGTACATACTGGGGTCAGGATGAAGTCTTTGGGGGTGATCGGGCTGCTGCTTTTTTTTGAAGCTGGGATCGGGATCGATGTTCGGTGACGAGGATCGGGATGGGGATCGCATGTGTGGGGCGTGCGCAGGGGGGCGATGTGGACAAAAACGTCTTGCGACTGTCTAGCAAGTTTCGGGACAGCCCTCTCGTGTTGACAAGTGCTCTCGCAGAGTGTTTTCTGCAGAAACTCCAGCAGCAGGTGAGGCCGAGTCAAGCACTACAACAGCTGCACGGCAGCAGGTGCCCTGTGCAGCAGCTGCAGCAGCAGCATCAACACCCGGCGAAAGAGCAGAGGCAGCAGCACGCATGCAGCTCTCCCGAAATGGCCAATGGAATACAGTGCTTCAGTGTTTGGCTTCAGGCCCTAAGGTTTTGTTTCTAGGACTTCTTAGGATTTTGCTGCGCAGATGGCAGCATGTCTGGAAACCTTTAATCACAAGCCTTTGGCCCCCCGCTCTCACCAGTTGCAATCAGAGCACTTGTTCTGGATGGCATATGAAATGGGATCTTTTGTGATGGGCTCTTCACGGGTTTCGACTTTGTATATTCTTGATAGTTTCAAGTCAGGGCTGAGTTTTAAGGGCTAAAGGTTTAAGGCTTATGGCTGTGTGTAGAAAATGATAGCATACGACCCGTGCAGCGGCACGGCGTACTGCAGCGAGGACTTGCGGGGCCCGGGAAGCAGCCGCCTGAAGGAGGAGCAGCAGCAGCTAATTAAAAGCCTGAAGCCAATCGACCCTAAGGCGTTCCACAGACTGGAGAAAGTTAGGGATCTCATGCTCTTCAGACACGGAGGGACGGGGGTGGCAGAGGTCTGCTGCTGTTGGTGCTGCTGGCGATGCCGGTGCTTATGCTGTTGGTGCTGCTGGCGATGCCGGTGCTTATGCTGTTGGTGCTGCTTTTGGCTGGTGATGGCGCTGGAAGCGATGACACTGCCACTGCTGCTATTTAGCTGCTGTAGAAGCAGGTGCTGCTGTCGCTGCTTCTTGTCCTGCGGGCACTCGTTTTGCTGCCCCAGCTGATTGTGAGACTACTACTGATGATATTGCTTCTACTGTTGCTGCTACTGCGTTGGCTGTAGCTGGTGCTGCTGGAACTTGACTTTTGCCTACCTTTGCGCCTTCCCTTTGTTTTCAGGCCTTGCGAGTTGCTGTAGAGGTCCTAGGGCAGCGAATGGCGGTGTATCCGGTGAAGACGTTGCAGCTGTCCGCCGTGGACAAGAAGGGAAGGGGGCCGTTTGTGGAGTGTATGCTGGTTAAGAAGGGAACCACGTAGGCGCTAGTATAATGTTTTCTTTTCATATTCTTCCGTATTTTTGTGTACTCCGTCTTCTGCTTTTACTCAATCTGCGTCGTCGGTTTAGGCACAAACCTACATGAACACGCATGCGATATGCGTTTCCATATAGACATGTCCCC